TTTTAGTTCAATATAAAATATTTTACAACAACATGGAAGTTTCACCAAAATTTCTATCATGATATTCCCTCGGGAGTGTTTGTTCCTTTGTTAATCGAAGAGACGATGTTTATAAGCTATTCACTACAGTATACAACTATATGAACCGTAGAAAACATTTTGGAGTGAATTTCAATTTAAGAGGCTTGTTTAGATTCCGGCAGAGATCGTGCGCGAATATTAAACGACAGAAACACCCTCATCTTATCAGATAAAAATAACTACGCAGTGAATGTTGCCCAGATGAGAATTTGCACAGGATAAATTGCCAAAAAATAATAAAGAAATGGAAGATGCAATAAATTGGGGAAATTTTTTGAAGTACAGTATATAATTATACAACTAAAACCGTAGAAAGAGTACATTCTGATATAAGCTGCTTGTTTTGATCCCAGCAGAGATCACGCGCGAAAAATATAAACGACAGAAATGCACCCCTCATCTCATCAGATAAAAATAACTACGCAGAATTAATGTTGCCCATGCAGATGTGAATACCAAACAGGATATATATATATATATATATATATATATATTGAGTTAAGTGTATTTATACACTTAGCTCAATATTAAGGTATATCATAAATAGCTATAGAGTTAAGAGCATAGGAAATGTTGCTATCACGAAATATATATGTATAGAAATATACATGACAATTGATCAGATATAGATCAGATATTGAACAAGCGTTCGCAACGCGTGTCGGGTCGTTTAATATATGACATTAATTTTAAAATGTCTCATGCACTCTTTCCAAGGAATGGGCGGAGCGTTCCATTTGTGCTTCGACATAGTTGTAGTGTTGTTGAAAGAAAGTGCTTGTGTTAAAAGAAAGTGCTTTGCCATGAATGTCGGGTCGCCCTTTCGTATTAACTTTCCACATTTTAAAATACCGCAAGCATTTCGAATATGCATTACCAGAAATTTGGGACAAGATGGCGTCTTGCATTGGGATAAAAACAAACATGGCGGCCAAATTTCATGCGAAACAATATGGCTTAATCACAAAACTTTAAATTACGCTTCCTATGTGTGTTTTTTTCTTGGTTCGGAATTCGAATTCTGTAAATTGCTCAGAAAGGAAGAGTTATAACAAAAAATATTCACTCACTAGCAAATCCTCTAGGTTCCTGAGTGCGATTTATATACAAGTCCAATTTGAATGATTCGGCTATATAAACCATAGTAATATCGGTAAACATGCTCTACAATCTGGTCAAATACACCACTTTCCTTTTGGACGATGCAAAGTTCGGAGTTGGAAATGTCTTTGGTTGTGATATAGCTACCGATATAACTCATAAATATCTTCGTATTTTTTACCGCCACGGTTCCCACAGCGTTTGAAATTTCATGATTTTTCAGTGTGTTAAGCATCCGGCCATATACATTTGAAGCATAATTATAATTGCATAATTATACCATCGAGCCATTTTATGAAATTTTCACCAATTCCTTAGGTCAAGAAGCGGACGCTGCCCACGAACGCGGACGCAAAATGTCTCAAATTTCTGGTAATGGTTAGTATGGTTTATATACAAGATGCGCGCCAAACCCGTGCATGTTAATTTCAAAACTCAAACGTCATATTCCAAACGACCCAACATGCGTTGCGAACGCTTGTTATTTTGCAGTCAACCGGAATCCGCTGTGTAACACGGCTCATCAACAAGAGTAATGGAGAGTTTATAAAAAGTTTTGGCAAACTTCATCTCTCTGGTATAATTGAAAGACTCCCTATCATTCAAGCTGATCTACCCAGAGTAATACGACTTCTATTTCATTGTTTACATCAAAATTGTTTGTAATATATTTTCGTTACTGATCAGGCTTCCCTCATTGCGGGTATTCTTAACCCACAATCAGGCGTCTGTTTGGCAACGTGATAAGCTTTCCAATATACTATTATATATACTTGCAATATAATGGTTATATAGTTGCTGAAATGACATTATTGGGGAACCTGTTTAAGGTAATATAAAAATATGGAAAAATTATCATAACAGTACTGATTTTCCGCCCGTCTTAAATCAAGCCCTGCAACTGCAATATGTAAGACAAAAGTTGGATTAAATTCAAATTTTGTCTCCTGCCTTATAATTATAATTCTATAATTGGCATTATAAATTTTTATGGCAATTCAAACCTGATAGGAACTTTATGAAAAAAGCTTTTCCTATCGAGGAGCCTGTCCCTGGAACAATTTACCTGATGAGCTAACTTACAATAGTTTAATTTATTTTTACTCAACTAATGTATAATAATACTATAAACGGCTCCTTGAAATCAGCTTTAGCTGAAGGGCTATCGTGCATGTTTAAATAAATTTTTAATAATAATAATAATAATTAATTTCCCAAATTTCTGGTTATGAACTTGGCGATGTTATTATCCACTGACACTGTAGCCGCCGGAAATCGCCGGAGACAGTCACAAATAGGGCGTCGCGCACTCGTGGCAAAATATTGACAGTGATCTTTGTGGATGATAGTTCAGGAAATTTTGGGTAAAATTAATGCAATCGTCAATTATTCTAGCTGTATCTACAATCACTCTATCAAGATATGCGCGCTAAAATTAATGACCAACACGACGGCCGCAGTTGTAATAACGTAATGAAGATCGGATGTATGGACGAGGACACGCAGCTGGAAATCGAGACTGGTTAACAAGATTATAATGTTACTCTACAGTAAAATATAGTTAAAATATATACATGCATGATAAGATTACAAGCGTCGTCACCCTGGCATGGTCCATTGCTTTATCATAGACATAGGGGCAATCTGGGAATATTATTTGGAAAGTTCAACGTTCGATCTTTTCAATTTGGTCGTTTAGGTATTGGGGCAAACTAATGACATACTTTGCACGAATATGGGGTTCTCGGTCGGATGCATCTGAATGTTATACCCTATGTTTGAAACCAACAAGCTACGAACACAACAACGTCGATAATCCGGATGAGCATAAAACAAAATGAACCAATCGAGCATACTCATCGATCTTTTTTTCTCTGTTACAGCCGGTTACGCTCGCTCCCTTGCAAACACAGGTTGACAGAATGATACAAACGACGAACTAGCCCAGTTAAGGCACGAGCGCTCAAAACGACGGAGAATATTTGACCCTTTTTTAGCAGTGACTGCACTCGAGAACCTAGTGGATCTATAGGAAGGGAAGCTAGGGATTCTAATGCACATTGCTACAATTCGATATACAAACAGACGTGTTCCTTGCCACAAACTTCTCGGTTCCAGTCTCTATTGTTGAAATTTGTTGGAGATAAAATTAACAGGAAATGGAAATCGCTAAGCTTATCGAGAAATCACTCAAACATCACTCGTGCGCTTGGTCCACCCTGGGTACCGTCGAGGCAAACCCCGGTCCCAGCACTCCGTTTAACCAATGTAATTCGGTCTTGACATCGAAATTGGTTCTTTTATAAAAAATCTTAAATCTTAACTGAAATATGTCTGTATAGTATTATGATTGAGAAGAATGTGCCCTTTCGTGTAAGTGTATTATTGAAAATGCAACGAAAATAGCAAATAATAATAATAATAATAATAATAAATATATATGCAAATCAAATTATGCCAAGGTTATATCTGTCTTCAGTGTTGCTATGTTTTGAAATATTCCGCGATGAATAGTAACCCCACACTAAAAAAAACAAAAAAGAAACAAAAAAACAAAAAGAAAACCCCTTGCTTAACCGGCTTGTCGTGACTGTCTTTGTTTTTGGCTTTTGAGTCACCAAAATGAGAGTGATGGTTCTGAAAAAAGGAGCTCCTTCAAAAAGACATTTTTCGGGAGTGTTTAGGGGCAGGTATGTGATTCTTAACAACCACCATCAACAATATTGCAGGATAATCGTTCACATGTAAATGCCGAGTTCGTGAGATCCACTCTTCTCGTTTGCGCATGGAGCATATCTCTTTGGTAGGCAGGTAGGACGTGTTCCCCTACTTCATCTTGTAGTACTTTTCACGATCGAACCGAATACACCACGGTTATAACACGATGCTCCCTTTTTGAGTCTGTCGATAGTAGACCATCCGTTCAAACTGGATCGCTTGGCTGATTTAACTTGATATGTCCACGGTGGGTCTAATCAGACTATTAAATCAAGCTATGTCAACATTTTGTTGACTATTGACAACCGCACATTTTTGGTATAGAGTGGGGTGGGTGGCTCTTCATCTACAACACCTTGCCATTTGAATGGGAAGCCTCTCACTATATTTTTCATACTGTATATCGGTTTGGTGGCCTCATTTCATTTTTTCCGCTCGAAACGAGAGTTATGTTCGTTGTATATTGACGTCCGACATGTCGGATAGTTACATGCAAGTCTCCCTGTTCAGGGAAGCATATTTAGCCTTACAAGATGATAATGCACTCACTCTAGCGGCTGCTAAATCTGCTATATTTCTCGTGGCCTACTATTTATTATAAGTAATATCATGACATGAGAGAAATTAGTGATTAAATGCGCACGAGGGAATTACACAAACCTCCCGAGCCTGAGGGGTCATTTAATCACTAATTTCCCTCATGTCATGATATCAGTTTGTAATAATTATCATGATCAGCGAGGGTGATGTAGCGCATAATTGGTTTTATGTATTGCTAAAAATTCATATGTGTGCATCTTATTGCTTGCATGCTTGCTCATGCTTACAGAAGCGGGCGAATTATAACTTGCGGCACCTGAATTTAAACATGCATGCAACTTGCAAAGTTGTCATTAGCTCAAGCAGAATTTTGTTTTAAGCTTATCCCCAATAAAATCTTAATACTCTGAAAAACTGCTTGTACGCGATTACATGCATGTGCTGCATGCGCTGATAGTTTCCGTTTACGAAAAATTACATATAGAGCCCGCTTGTGAAGAAACATGACAAGGGTACACCAGTATAGCAGTTTCAATCTTTATTGAAGTTCTAATCCCGTTTTAACAAATTCAATTCATCATGCATAGCATAAGCCTGAAGATATATGTCGGTTTTCCTATGGCTATACTATCAAATTTTATGCATCTCGGTATCTAAATGAGAGTAGAAAAAAAAAAAATATATATATATATATACACCCATTTGCAAAAACGTTGGCCGCAGATAGATAGATAGATAGATAGATAGATACTCGAAGTCTAATTAGAATTGCATATGATTACATTTGCATGGGATTTCTATAATATTACACAACAACAATTCTAATTAGATTTCGAGTATCTATCTATATCTATCTGCGGCCAACGTTTTTGCAAATGGGTGTATAATATATATATATATATATAATAATATATATAAATAATAATATATATGTATATAATAATATATATATATTTATATATATATATATATATATATATAATATATAATAATATAATATATATATATTAATATATATATATATATATATATATTTTATAACATTTTTATCTTTATTATATTCATTTTCAATGTAATGATATTTCTTGCCATCTGATTGGTTAAAAAATTAATCCCTAATCCCTAATCGCACTATTTTACAGTAACCAATCATATTTAATATTTCAGTGTAACTATCCAGTGTAACTACTATATGGCACCAAATTTTATTCTTTTGGTTTTTAAATGCCCCGCAAAATTTCTTGACAAAAATAGATGAAATTTACTAACCGCTTCGGTTCACTCAGCCAATAATTCGTTTAGAATTTGTTTAATTTTTGTATGAAAGTTGAAATTGCACTACTTATATATCGTACAATTTTGGTCAGAAATCAAACTTGTGATTACAAATCACACTCCCGCTCCGTGTAATTACGCGTTCGATTCCACACTAAATTGCACTCCACTCACCATTATTATCAATAACTATTATTAATCAGGCTTGGATAATTAACGTATGTCATCTCAAGACATATAATTTTTTATAATAAGTCAAACAGTAATTTTCAAATCGTTTAATAACTGCAAAATATGATCTCAATTTTTTGTTTGATCTTTATCATAGAATGAAAATAAAAGCTAGCACTTGTTATAAAAAAAATTGGGATTATGAAACGGATTAGAATATTTTTTAGCTACATGCATACCTTTTTCGCATGCAGGGTACCAGGCAGCAATGTCCACCCGGCATGCATGAAAAACTCGGATATCCATATCCTGGAGGACACGAAGCCCATTGAAACGAAAAACCACAACAATAAAAGCCAAACAGTTCGCATTTAGATTCTGTGTAAGCAGGATTTGCTGAATCAACAACAGAGGAAGAATTATTGAATTACAAAAAAAATATTCTATTTTTGTGATAATTTGATGAATAGCTAAATATACTAATTACGTTTTGTCTTACTTTTCCAACGTCGTTTCACCAGGTTTGCATTGTTCGAGACGGTGAAAATAACAAGAAACAAGCAGATAAGGAGTTTAGACTTCATGGTGAGCTAAAATATGATAAAACATCAAATTTCAATCAACACATTAGTTCATATCCAGCAACACAATCGCCGTCCGAACGCATGCATGCAGGTACAACATTATAGTATAATGTATAGTATAATGTAATGTATAATGTAATGTATAATGTAATGTATAATGTACAGTAAAATGTATAGTATAATGTATATATAGTATAATGTATAATGTAATGTATATAGTATAATGTATAGTATAATGATTGTATAGTATGATGTATAGTATGATGTACAATATAATGCATATTATAGTAAGTAAAAACTATAATCTAAACTATAATGTATACTATAATTTATAGTATAATGCATTATAATATAACTTTTATAGTGCATGCGTGCTGATTGGTCGAGAAGCGTGTTTCTATAACTGTAACGAGTCGAATTATAATATTTGTACAAAATCTTTTTAGCGAGTTATAATATAAAAGTAATAGAAATATTTTTTCCTGTGTTTCTATACAGTTATAGAAACACTTGTAGTTCGAAGAACTGACAATAACGTGAAAAAACTTTCCATACGGGCTCGTTTTCCCACTGATTATTTCTCGTTCTCCCAAACTTCTACGCGTTTTTTTATTTATGGTATAATGCATAGTATAGTGTATAGTACTAGAAATACATGCATATAAAATCCCCACGCCTGAAGCAATAAACATATATTTTCCATCACTGAAATTCTTCAATTCAACATGCAATGATAAAGTCGACTCTCATGCTATAACATTCAACTATATAACCATAATTCATTAATTGTGCTACGAACAGTTTTAAATACTGTACTTATACATTATATATATGTACTTAAATACTGTACTTATACATTATTACAAATGAAAATAGAAGCAATACGAAAATAGAAACAGTACGGCGGAAAAGCATGGCTACTTTGTTAGAAATATCGCATTTGAAAAGACGACGCAGGAGTCACACGTTTCGTTCGCCATGCGGTTAACGATTACACAAGACGGATTAAAGTCAAATACAAACTAGACCACGAGGGAGTGCAAATCACAAGAAACAAGCAGATGATGAATCTAGAACTCATAGGCATAGCGAGCTACGTATATAAAGCATCAAGCCATCAATAGCAAAAAGCACAGTAAAATACCCTATACATAATAATTATTATATATTCTACTGAATACTTACATTTCTTTACAATCCAGCTATACTTCAAATGTTCAGTCTTCAGTGCATGAAACGATTCAGTCGACAATTGAGCGGAGACAAGGTTATCTTCTCTTTATATAGCCAACATCATTATAATTAAATGTAGAATAAGTCAGAATGTTTTATTTATGCGCTGCAATCATCGATATGGCATTTCATCTCACACTCCAACCAAGTTTCCGCAACAAGTTCTGTAATATTGTAATAACATACATCGGAAAAATTTTGACAATATAATATAATTACATATAGATATAGATATAAATAGTAGAATACTAGTTTATACAATATATAACGAAGTGAAAAATTAGGCTTACAATCACTTTTAAGGTAGCTAAAATACTACTTTGTACAGAACACTTTTCAAATTCTTTTTGCCAAAACCTTGTTGCATTAAATCCCTGTAAAAAGTTTCCAGATATTTGCCTAGGTTTGTAAAACGTGCATTTCTATACAACAGATCCATTCGGGGTTTTTTAAAAAAAAACACCTTTGTAATTATACTCAAACAATTATTCACCTCAGGCTGAGTAATATTCACTTACTGCATGAGTATGTGACAACCTGTTTATCACATATCACATCATGCACACAGTTCAGGCTTCAAATTTGGCACATTTTCAGAGAAAATGTGGCTTTTAAATCTTTTTGGTTTTAGCAATAGCTAGCTTTCAATAGCTGTATTTCTTTTCCGCCTGATTTTAAATGACTTATAGGATTATGTCGAGGTTAAATGGACCTTGATATACTTATTTATAATTTTATATAACATAATATTGAGTAAAGTGTATAAATATACTTAACTAAATATATACTACGAATATGATGTAGAGTTAAGATTAGAAAAGATTGTTCTCAAGAAATATATATTTATGGCATGTTCATGACATGTGACCGGATACATATCTATATATCACATGCATGACTTTATCAATAATTATGCCCACTGCTCACGTCATCTCACAGGAGTTATAAAGTATTTGAATTTATTATTTTCAAAACACCAAAATCTTATCTGAAAGGTTTACGGTTCAGAATAGTTTGGAAAAGCTCTTGTCCAACCATTGCTTAACAAGGACGCACTATGTATATGATATTTTTACTAAAGAACTTTACAAAACTTTACAAAAGAAATTCAGCGAATCTAATTAAAGATTACGGCAAAAATTACTTGGGCATGCATACAATGTTACCCCGTTGAACAATCGCTTTTGTCACACACTTCTCCACCGAAAATGTTTCAGGCAAGGTTTGGCGTTTTGCAAAAATAAAATCCAACATATATTACAGTAAAACTGCTCACTGCATAGGCAAAAATTACTAGCTATGAGCTATTCTACAACCTGTTTCGTCAAGATACCAACGCACTATATGAGCTTAAGGGGCTGTTTACATGAGCCCGGTTAGCCGAGATTCAACGAAGCGTGAGATGATTTTGAGGTATTGAAATGAGCAAATAACATGATCCTGGCAGTCGTATAATCACCACAACAATAGCCTGTGCTTGTTTGGTATCATAAAGACTTATTTCAATACCTCAAAGTCATGTCACGCTTCGTTGAATCTCGGGTAACAGGGCTCATGTAATCAGCCCCTAAATACGGTGGGTATAGAAAAATAGAAAAATAGAAAAATAGAAAAAACAAAATGACCGAAAGTTTTGCTCAGGAGTATGTTAAAGAGGGAAATAAAACACTTTTTGTGAGTGCTGTTCCCAGAGACTCAAAATATATCAAGAAATTTTAAGATTAGAATAATTAGGGTAAGTACAATCACATAATACTATTACGTATTATCAGAAGTGTAACTAGAGATTATTTTCGTGTCCTCAAATTTTCCCAAAATGGACACGTCATGCACATGCACGCAAAGACACTTGCTGGACTGATGTATATATCTGGACTGAGTATTTCTTATCATTATTTCTAATCTTTATTGAAGTTCTAACCCATGTGCGTCAACTTTATAAGACGATCTCGGTATCTATAACAGGAAATAGAAAAAAAAGCAAGCAAGCGTAATTGTTAATAATTATATAATTTGAATATAAACTACTACCGTATACAACGGTATCGCTCAATAAAAACAATGAATTCGCCTCGATATTTATTTAGGGATATTCACCTGATCTTCGGTAAATAATTGTCAAGTATGTAGCACTAAGTTTTCACATAATGAGGAAGGTGATAATAAAAAATTATCACTTATCGCCCATTGCAGGCAATTGCGATATTGTTCTAAGGGGATATAAGAGTGATATAACAGTATGTAATAATTCGTTTATCACAGATCGCGTCAAACATTAATTCTGGGTTCAAATTTGGCACATTTTCAAAAGAAATATGGCTTTTACATATTTTTCGTATGTATAGCAATAGCTTTCAAATCTTTTTGCTTGATTTTAATGTCTGATAGGATTGTGTCGAACAGAATATAAATGGTCTTGATATAATTATTTATATATAATATATATATATATAATATATATATTATATATTAATATATATATATATATATTAATAAATACATATAATTATATTTAGTATATACATTGATATCGAGTTAAGTGTCAATATCACCAATTGCGTGAGGAGTGAATAATTTTTCAGGTTTGTTTACGTTATAATTAATGTATTGTAATTTAACTGTTTACCTTTAAACGGAAAATTTCACATCTTACAACCATGAAAAATAAACAAAAAGCCTACTAGACAAACCGAAATGTGCTTAAAACATGCACATTTCAAACAAGAAGGAATTTCGTTTTGAACTAATCCGCATAAATTATTTGTTTACATTTTTCAGGCTAAGCCAATCAGAATTCCTAAATTTTAAATACTTCACGTAAAATGGCAAATGGCAAATGATGTAACTCTTCACCGGAAGTAGTCACGATTTATCCATTCTGATTGGCTTGCTGCCAGTGTAAACAAATTTGCTGATTGGTCTAAAACGAAATCCCCCCCATGTTCACATTTCATGCTTCTTATCCATCGGTATGGCACTTATAATTCGTACATTGCGCATTGGCGTATTCCTTTAGTTCTACCTGATGTCATTAGAAAGTCACTACTAGTTCTACCCGACTGTTCTGCAAACAAAGAAACGACATACTTCGTTTCGACACGGTTCTGCGTACGTTTAAGCATTGTTCATGGTTTAAATGCGGAAAACTTCTTAGTTTGAACTTGATCAGGTAATCCAAAATTCCTGAATTTTAAACATAAACAAACAGGTGAAATCGTTACACTTAATATTTGAGCGCAAATTCCTGTACACACTAAACTCAATTAATTAAGAAATAGAAAACATTTTCCGTGTTTCTATACAGTTATAGAAACACGCGTGGGAGTTTGGGAGAACGAGAAATAATCAGTGGGAAAACGAGCCCGTAGGGCGAGTTTTTCCACGTTATTTCGAGTTCTCCCAAACTCCCACAAGTGTTTCTATAACTGTATAGAAACACAGGAAAAACGTTTTCTATTTATTTTATAATATAACTCGATAAAAAGATTTTGTACAAATATTATAATTCGATTCAATTACAAATTCTCATTACATCGCTTCGCTTGCCAAGTTCGGCGGGAAAATTCCCGTGTTTCTATACAGTTATAAAAACACGCTTCTCGACCAATCAGCACGCGCGTACTATAAATGTTATATTATAATATTATATAGTACAAATATGATAGAGTTAAAAGGCATAGGTTGTTCTCGAGAAATATATTTTTTCAAATTCT